AGGCCTGCTGACAAGCAAAGATTTGGGATTCCCCTTTGTAACTACCACAGGGGTCAAGGTTTTACTTGCTTCATAAAAATCCCTGGAATTCTTCCTCTCCAGGGTCCTGGAATGGATTATATAGTAGTGGGATTAACTGCTCTGTGAAAATTTGGCAGAATTCCCCACCAAACTGGTGCCTTTTTGACAGAATAGTTCTTCGATAATCTTTTCTATCTCCTTTATGAGAATTTCTCTCCCTTTATGAGAATCAGTCCATCTAAACTTTCTATTGGAGTCACCTTAGTAAATTGCATTTTCCTTGGTCACTGTCCATTTCATCTAAATTTTCAAATTTATTTGCACAGAGTTGTGCGTAATAGTCCTTAAAATTAAAATTTTTTGTTTCAATATTTTTAGTATTTTTTCTGGAGTTTTCTTTTTTCTCCACATCTTACTTAAATTATCTAGTAGCTTGTCCATTTTAATTTTTTCCAAATGCTCAAAATACTATTCATTTATTCTATTTTTCTCTTTACCAAATGTATATTTTTAATCCTTATTTACTTTTGTTTTTCTTCCTGAGTTGAATAGTAATTAATTTTTTCTTTCATTTATCAATGTTTCAATATTTTCTTTTTTTTTTTGGTTTTTCTCCGGTACCAGGAACCGAACTCATGACCTTGCGTTTGCCAGGCAGGCGCTTTGCCGCTGAGCTAAATCCCCAGCCCCTATCAATGTTTCAATATTATAAACTATATTTTACTTACAGTTTAAATTATATCCCATAGATTTGTTATTAACCTTCTTGGGAAGCTCTGATTTTCTCTTTTGTCCCAAGAGTTTAATAAAAGTTTTTCTTTAGATAGGGCTTTATAAAATTTTTTTGGTTTGTTTTGTTTCTTTGAGACAGTTTCACTATGTAGTTCAGGCTGGCCTTAAACTACGTAGCCCAGGCTGGTCCTGAACTCACCAGCAATCCTCCTGCCTCAGCCTCCCTAGTGCTGGATTACAGGCATGTGCCACGATAGCTGGCTTTCATAGGACTTTTTAAAAGAATATTATTCATTTATTTTATTGTATGTGATTAAAGAAGGGCTTATTACTGTTAATGTCTATAAAGTATTTATGTTTTCTTTATGGTATCAATTTTATAAAGAATAGGTATATTCTTTTACCAAAGGAGAAAGGTCAATACAAGTAGAGATCTAAGTAGTGAATGTTTAAATATTAAAATTTATTACAGTAAAAGACACATTGACATTAATCCCCCTCAAAGTCCTCTGCCTCGCTTCAAACACAATTATCCTATTGTTCTTGCCACTTTCTGAAGCAGTTCTGAAAGTCCTTTTTTATGTGTTTTTACAAGGGCTGATAAAAAATATGATGAATACTGCTGACAAGTGCCATCCAATAATGGAAAGGCATATTCTTAAAAACACTACAGTGTCCTCACCCACCTTTTTCATCAGATTGGGCACCATGCAATTTCTCCCCCAAAGTGAAAATGGTCATAAAAGGTAAACCTTTTCACCTGAGGCAGTGCAACTGAAGACATTCATTAAAAAGGATTTCCAGGACAGCTTCAGAAAGTGGCAAGAAAGATGGGATAAGTGTGTTTGAATGACGGGAGAGTATTTTGAGAGAGATTGATGGTAATGTGTCTAATTTTTTAAAACTTTTAAACACCTTTTATAAATCATACCTCATACATATTTAGAAGATCTTTTTTCGTGGGTACTAGGAATCGAACTCACGACCTCGCACTTGCCTGTGTGAGGCAGGTGCTGTGCCGCTGAGCTATATCCCCAGCCCAGAAGATCTATTCTATAGAAACTGTTATTTAGATCACTTATATCCTTATATAGTTTGTCTTCAGTCTTGGAGACTGATATGTTATATTTTTCTACTAATAATTTCTAGCTTTCTACCTACTTTTCCTGGCAGTTATGTCTTATACAAACGTAATATGCTTTGACAAGCTAGGAGTAACATGCCTAAAATAATGAAAAAGGAAGGAGAAAGAGAAAGCACAAAGAACTCTTTGTTGCATAGGCAATAGGTTGGCGTCAAGGAATATCATGTAAAGGTGACAGACCACATAGCTGAGGCGGTAATATTCATAGCTAGCATATCTTCATTGTGAACTGTGGCTTTTAGCATTCGAATGTCCTTTGTGTTTTCCTGAATTCTACTCTATCAGAGATAGATGCGGTGATCTCTGCATTTTGTAACTTCTATTTTTCTGGTACGTTGTTGCTTATCCCCCTACTTTTTAGCCTTTATTTTATTGTCCTCATAAATGACAATGTGTTGGTAGATAAACCAATCTCAAATTCTTTTTCTTTTAGTGGATGGATGAAGTCCTCTCGCATTTAGCAATTTGAACCATGCTTGGATTTATGTTATGTGTGCTGCTTCACTTACTGCATGTTGTTCACTGTGTGATCTACTGCCTTTATTACTGTTTCTTGGTCAATGAGGGCTATTTGTATTTTATTTTAGTGATTACATTATTCATATTATACTATTGCCCTTATTTATGCTGTACTATTACCTTTAATAGTATCAAATACCTTTTAATGCTTACTTCTCCTTTTTCCGTATTTTAAGCCTCAATTATGTGACTTGTCAATTTTAAGTAATATTCTTTAACTCCTGTCTATTTCCTGTACAACAAAGAGCTCTTGGGGCTTTCTTCTTTCACTCCCTTCCTCACTTGCCTAATTGTCTACCACGAGAAAGCATGTACCATCTGACACTATTTGTCCACGTTTCTCTTATCTACATTAGTCTTACATCCACAACTATTGATATTCAACGATCACCTTGTCCTTTTGTTCAAGTTTCCCCAATAATCTCGATAGAAGAAGCCTTTCAGTAGACTCCTGTTTGGTTTCTATCTAGGAGGTTTCCCAAAAGTTTCATGTGTTCAGAGACTGGGCTTTGGGATGGTGATTGACTTTTGGATGGATCAGCCTACTGATGAGCTTATGGTTAGGAGACAGAGCCTGGTTAGAGGTTTGGGGGTGTGACCTGAAGGGTGCATCTCCCTCGATTCCTCCCTTCCCTCTGCTTCCTGGCGACTATGATGTGAGCCGTTTGCCTCTGCAGCCGGCCCCCCCACTATGAGCCAGCCAACCATGGGCTGAAACCTTTGAAACTGTGAGCCAAAACAAATCTTTTCTCCTTTAAATTGTGGGTATTTTATCCCAGAAACAAGAAAGTGAAGAAGGAAGAGAATGTGACTATAACATTCCCTGAGCTATTCTTGCCCTATTAAAACTTCCTTCTATGTCCTGGATACTTAAAGGTCAGCTTAGCTGGATACAAAATCCTTAGTTCATACTTCAAATTTTTTCTCCATTATTTCAATTTTTTTGAAGTCTTATGCCAATCTGATCTTTCTCCCTTTATAGGAGACTAGATATTCTGGCCTAGAGACAGTTATGATGTGTGTTTAGATGTCCCCGCCAAAGCCTCATGCAGTCATAGGTGGGGCTTTTTCAGAAGTGGCTGGATCTACAGTGTGTGATGCTGGGACTGATTCACAGAGCAATGCTAGGCTCAAGAGCACTAGGATTAAGGGTGTGAGCGCTACCCACCCTACATACCCTGGATAAGATAGAAGGGCAGAAAGATGCTGTTAAGATCCCTTGCTTGCTTCTGCAATCCCTTGCTCTGCCTGCCAGGAACTGTTTTTCCTCCGCCAAACCACCCTGCCTTGGAGTCAGCTGATTAGGGACTGGAACCTCTACAAACTGTGAGCTAAATAACCTTTCCTCCCTTAACTTGTGGGTGTTGGGTGTTTGGTGTCAGCAAAGAGAAAACTAAGACAGTCCAAGATAACATTTCCTTTACTTTCAAAGTATAATAGTTTGATAGAAGTATCTCAGAGCTTATCATTCTGGGTCAATTTTCCAAGTAACAAAACACATCTTTTCAAGATAGTTTCAGGTCTTTTTTTTGCATAATTTTAAACACTAACCTGTTCCATTGTCTTTTTTCTTCAGGAGTTCCAATGTCATCGACATTGTATTTTCTTTGCCTATTTTTCATTCCTGCCTTCCTTGTGCCTAACTATACTGAAGCCATATCTACTCTCATTGGGTATCTTGTAATTTAGTTTTCATACCTGTCATGATTTTGTTTTTCTGTTCAAATTCTTTCCTAAGTTTGGTCAGTTCTCTTTTTGTATATCTTATTGCTTTTTCATTTTCATTGTAAGTTTTTGAATTTCTGACCTATGGTATTCTTTCATCCCCACAACTGTTTGATTTATTTTACATTTTTTGGTACTGGGAATCAAACTCACAACCTCAAGCTTGCCAGGTAAGCACTGTGCCACTGAGCTATACCCATAGCCCCCTCACTTTTTTTTAACTTTGTTTGGGTCTGACTTATTTTAACATTCATGTTGGAGAGCTATGCTGCAATTTAATTTTTCACGGTCCAATTGGTCATTCATGTAAAATTTAACAAGTAATGTCTAGCCAGGTATGGTGGCACATGCTTGCAATCCCAGCACTTGAGAGGCCAAGGCAGGAGGATTTCCGTGAGTTCAAGGCCAGCCTGGGCTACAAAGTGAGTCCAAGGCCTGGCTGAATTACATAGCAAGACTCTACCTCAATAAACAAATAAAAACCAAGTAATAGCTAGGAGGTAATAAGTTGTTTTCTTCTGAATCTTTTGTTTTGTTTTGTTTTGTACTGGGGAATCAAACTCAGGACCTTGTGCTTGCCAGGCAGGTGCTGTGCCACTGACCTATCTCTCTGGCTCTCTCTGAATCTTGGACTTCCTGTTTTGTCTGGTAGGCTGTCATCTTCGGCTTCTTGCTTCCTCTTCCCACTCTCATTCCCTAAGCTCCAAGGGACACCAGTCCCTCTAAAGATGGCTTCATCGCTACTGGAAGTGATGCTCCGGCCCCACTCATTGTCTCAACCCTTCTTTTTCACTTTCCACCAGCCACTGCTCTGAGCCAACAGGTCCCAGATCTGTCTGCACCATCCTGCTATGCTGAGTGAGACTAAAATTGTTTGCTTTAATTGGACTCTCAAGTTCAGTAAGGGCCTGAGGCAGAAGCAACATCTGGAGGATTCTGCTGGAGACAGTCTATGCAAACTGTTGCAAAAACGTGAGCAGGGAACAGAAAGGTAATAAGAGGGAGGAAGGAAGAACCCGTCACCATCTACACAATCACATGAAGACAGCGGAACTGAGAATCACGACTTTTCAGCTGATAAAAGGACTCCAAGATAAAAAAGAAACCTAGAATTTAGAAAATTCTTCCAGAGGAATGACACAATTTCATCTACAAATGAACCAGAAAGAGAGGGCAAGGGAAGCCCTAAATGGTGCCACCTGGGGATGGCACAGGCTGTTTGTGGGCAGAGCCGAGGGTGGGCAAGGGAACATGGTGGGGCGTGGTGAGTTACAGCAGGCGGCTGTGGGGAGGGGACAGCGACCAAGAAGGGAAGGAGGAAAGCTGCTCCAAAGAGAGAAGGCTGAGAGCATGGAGGGGGCATGGCAGACAGGAGGGGACTGGGGAGCGTTTCATACAGGGAGATGAGGAGGGGAGAAACTGGAGGGCCAAGGCGTGGAAGAGAAGGGGCCGCAGGGGCTGGGTTGTGAGAGAGGATGGACAGCAGGGTCAAGGTAAGGTGTGAAGGAAGTGGCTATGGTTCAGGCCTTGGAGCCGCCAGGGGCTCGGGGAGGGCACTGTCTCCCCCATTCTGCTCATTCTGCTCCTGAGATCAGCTTTCATTCTGCCTTGAAATGGGAAAAGTCACAATTTTTAGTGGACACTGTATTATTCTACCTTGTGGGATAATAGATAAGGAAGAAGAGATGTTTTCCTGCCCCTGGGCAAAGGCAGCCCAGGTGTCTTCAGGGAGATGTGCTGAGGCTGGATTCAGGATGGCCCTGGACAGGGCGGGAGCACACTGAGGAGTCCGCATGGGCAGGCATAGGTGCTCAGGACAGGGAAGAGCGTGCATGCTGCTCAGAGCCGCATCTCCACGGGGGATCAGTGAGTCTGGGCAGGTAGTGGTGCTCGGGCCTGCAGAATTCATTCCAGAGGGCCTTGGGTCTGGGACAAGATTTTCTGCTCCAGTCTGGCATACCGGGGGAGGAGGGCCTCATAGACCTGCAGGGACAGCAGAATCAGCAGCTTAGAACAAGGCACAGGAGGAGGGTGCCCCTAGTAACAACTTGTAATTTAAAATGTTTAAGTTCCATTTACTTGCAATTTAAAGTGCTCCCCCCCCCCCAGGAAAGGAAACATCAATCCACAAAAGAGGAAATACTAAATGGGGTGTAATGATACATGCTTAAAACCCAGCTACTCAGGAGGCTGCGGTAGGAGGACCAAAGGTCAAGGCCAGCCCAGGCAACTTAGTGAGATCCTGTCTCAAAATAAAATAAAGGCTGGGGACACAGCTCAGTGAGGGAGCCTATCTATGTTCAATCCCCAGTAAAACGAAACTCATTAATTTGTATAACAAGTATGTATTATTATTATTTTTTTTTTTTCTGGTACCGGGGATTGAACTCATGACCTTGTGCTTGCCAGGCAGGCGCTGTGTCGCTGAGCTAAATCCTCAGCCTCTCAAGTATGTATTAATAAAAAAGTGAGGAAAATAAATAAAAAATTTAAAAAGAGGAAAATGCTAGTAGTTCTTAGGCATACATATTGGGGATTGAACCAAGGGGCTTTGTACTGGACTAAATTCCAAGTCCTTTATTTTTTACTCTGAGATAGCATCTCACTTAAGTTGAAATATTGCCCAGGCTAGGCTTAAACTTTCAATCCTCCTGCTTCAGCCTCCCAAAGTGCTAGGATTATAGGTGTGTACCACATTCCCAGCTGATTTTATTTTTATGGTTTGTGTGTATTGAAGGTTGAAGCTAGAGCCTCACACATGCTAGGCAAGTACTCTACCCTGATCGGCACCTCCAGCTCTAGACTTTTTTAATACTGTAAATTTTGACAAGAAACAAGTTTTTGTTACCAAATATACAAAAGTTAAAAAAAAAATTCTGGTAGGAGTACCTAGGACGGGCTGTCTCTCTGCACAGCTGATGAAAGGTGGTGGTACAACCCTTTTGAACATGAACTTGACTTTATTTTCTGTATTAAAGGGGTCCATAGTCTGTGACATAGTTATTCTACTTCTGTGAAGTTCTTTCTTCTAAAGAAATAATTCTAAATGCAAGGTCCCAAACTCATTGAGGGTCTTTATAAACCCACTAAATGCTCAGATCTATGAGATGTGATTGAAAAATACTGTGTACGTCCAAACTGTTTTAAAATCTATTATAGTAAATTATCATAGTATCTTTAGTTGTGTCATTATGGCTCCCTTGATGTCCTGCATTGACTAAAACTGTTTCACTTTCATGGTCAATCTGATTTGGGGGAAGAGCCAGAAGTCATACAGTGCCAGATCCAGAGAATAAGGTGGGTACAGACTCACTGTAATGTTTTCATAAGCCTGCCTTTGCACTGGATGGCAGTTGGTAGGTGCATTCACTGTATTTTTGATCAGACCCCATAAAGACACTCACAAAAGATACTTCTAGAACTGCTTTAGAAAGTGGAAAGAATGATGGAATAAGTGTTTCTGAAGTGAAGGGGAGTATGTTGAGGGAGATTAATGGCAATATGTCATTCACTATAAGAGATTTTTAATATTTAAACATTCACCCTATTTAGATCACCCCTCAAATAAGCCTGCCATGGGCTACACATTGGCACACAACAGCAGAGGAGAAAGCTCAAGCAGCCTTCCTCTCCAGTAGCAGAGCAGGCGTAGTCTCTACAGCAGTCCACACCGCTGTCCAGAGCAGGGTCTCTGCCTTCGCATCTTCTCCCTTCCCACATTACAGCTCAGACCTTCTGATTCCTGCCTTTAAGGACAGCTGTGTGAGGCTGTGATGTTTGGAGCAGCTACAGATGTCCTAGGATCACCCACAGCACAGCCAGAGCGGTACTGACCAATACTGCAGCCACAAGCCAGGAAATGTGCCTGTAACTGTAAATGTCAAAAACTTCATGCAAAAAGGAATGCTAAATATCACATTAATAATATTTCTAATTGGTCACCTGTTGAAGGGACCATATTTTGGATACACTGGGTTAAATAAAATATATTATTAAAATTAATTTTACTTGTTACTTTTTACTTTTGAAAAATGAGACAAGGACATCTGTGGCTCACATGAGGTTCTCATTATTCACTGCTGCCCTGAGAAATCACAAGGAACATGACCAAAGCCTGATGCCAAACTGCTGGCCAATACTACCTTTGGATTTCCTGTCAAAGCCAGCTGCATCTGTGAGCTCCAGCACAAAATGCGGCACAAAATCTGGCTCTTTTGTTCCATTTTCTTGAAATGTCAAAAAAACCAGGATCTCCCTTTTAGCTGAGCACATCAGTTTTGACATAGGTGACAAAGAAAAACTTAACTTTTTGGGAAAAAGACCCTAGTTGGCTCTCATAACGCAAATGGTATGGTAAAATCTGATGGCCACTCACCTGAGAAGCTCCAGGGGTTGGTGTGGCAGCCAGTCTGGGTTTGGGGGCTGACTTCACAACCTCTGAAAAGGCCACATCTGTTCCACCTGCAAGGCCTAGAAGGGCAAGGTCATTTCATATCTGTGCATGTTGCAGAGGAAGTGGCTACCAGTAGACAGCACAAAGGATCACAGTGGTAAAACCAGGTACCTCTTCTAAAACCAGGTATGGGGCTGTATCTCAGTCAAGGCCCTGGATTCAATCTCCGGCACAAAAAAGAGAAAAACGTTCCAAAACTCAAATATTGTAGCGGCTGCACAGCTCAGCAAATTCACTAGAGATCACTGAACTGTACACTTAAAATGGGCAGTCTTTATGTATATATACTGTGCCTCAATAAAATTTTTTTTAAAAAGAAAAATTTCAAGTGCTGGCCTCTCTTCAGCAAGAGCCTAGTCTGTCTTGCTTCATGTGAGCACCCCTTCTATAGACAGGGTCTGCTGTCTCTGGCATATGCAGAAGAGTGGGGTGGCTCACCCGTCCTCCCTCATGTCCCTCTGCTCTTCTGCCCCTCGCTACCTTCTAGCCATCCAGGGCGTCTTCCAACGTGTTCTGCCCCCAACTGAGTGCTAACACGCCTCTGGGGGGCGCTGGCGAGCTAGGGTTTAGCTCAGGGTTTAGGGTTTGGAAGACAGCAAGGCAGGAGGACCCTGGTACCCTTTGGCAACTCCATGAACATAGAAAGGGAAAACAAAAACAAGGCACAGCACAGTGAGGGCTCCAATTTCCTTCCCACTAGCGCAGAAGGAAGAGTATAAAATAGATCCCAGCCTTCTCTCTGGCTACATCGTAGGCCAGCTTATGCAACAGTATTTTCAAAGTTCTCAGGAGAAGTATTCTGAACTCAGTCCTTTATCCAGCTATTCTTTGGGATGGTACAACAAAGACCTGTTGGACATGCCAGACCTCAAAATTATCACTTGCTGAATCTGAATTCTCGCTTAAAATATTTATTTAGGTTGTGCAGGCTGATGAAACTAGCCCAGAGGGCTGAGGGTGTGACTCGGTGATAGCGCACTTGCCTATCGTGTGCAACGCTGGGTTCAGTTGGCGACACCAACAAACAAAAATCCTAGTATAGAAACAAAGAAAGAAACTGCAGGGAGTTAAAGCTAGGCATGGTAGTACACACCTGTACCCCAGCACTCTGGGATGCTGAGGCAGGAGGATCACAAGTTTGAGACGAGCCCCCAAAAGCCCTGGGTTTAATCTGTAGTACCAGAAAGAAAAAAGAAAGAAAGAAGAAACTGCAGGGAGTTGAAAAAATAAAGGCAATATGCTATAAAATGTGGTTAAAAAATAACAATCTGGCAATAAACTCCCCAGCGATCTTGATGCAGGAATGGCATGAAGTGCGGCAGGGTATATGGAGTGAGTGGGAGGGGAAAAGAGGCTAACTATTAAAAGAAGTTTATGTTCTCTGATGAATTCACAACACGGAAATAAAAATATATTTAAGTAGTATGCTGGAAAGTTAAGAGTAAACATGCAAAGAATGGAACCATCAGGAGGAAGGTCGAAGCCCTGAGGCACGTGGTCGCCAGGTGCTGGAGCAGCAGAGGACAGGGCAAGTGGTCTAAACTGAGGAGGCCTGGACTCGGGCTTGCACTGCTCCCTCGCCAATGGGAGGATGGGAGCTTCCCGTAGTGTCCGGAGTTCCTGCCCGGGCTCCACCACAGCCTGGGGCCTTCGAGGAGCTGTCCAAGGTCCTGGACTGCTTGGGTCTGAAACCTGTCATTGTCTCAACTTGCTGAAAACACAACGCTGGACTTCATCTACCTCTTCTGCTGACCAACAAGCCTGACCATGCTCACTTGCCCTCAAGCACACCCTTCCTAGCATCCTTCGGCAGAGCGTGACTGACCAGGCCTCATTCAGTCCATTCTCTGTCTCCCTTCCTCTACTTTAAGTAGAGAATAAAGAAGCAGAGGGGTATGCATGGTTCTAGCCTGCTAGGAGGAGGCTAAAGGCCCAAGACTCCAATGTCCCAAAGACTACGAACACCCTCCTCTTCCCTTTCTACCTGCTTCAGTGCAGCCAATGCCCCAGGCACTTCCAGAGACTGTGGTGTCCCAGTCACCAACCTACCATGAAAAGCTCGATACGCAGAGCCCACGCAGGCAGAGCTGGCAGTGTCCATGACATACACAGGGGCACCGAACACATCTGCAAGCACCTGGGAAGGCACAGGGGTTTCACTGTAGTAGTCACTCCACAGGGAGCACAGGCATTTGGAGAGGTCCTTCCCAGGCTCTCCTTCCTCATGTCTTATCATCCTCCATCCAACCTCTGCTGCCTCAAGATGCATATCTGGAGTGTAGCTAAGTTGTAGAATGCTTACCTAGCTTGCACAATGGCCTGGGTTTGATCCCTAGCACCAAAAAAAAAAAAAAAAAAAAAAAAAAAAAAAACAAGTATACTTGGCCATGGCAGGATGACCTGGAGGAAGTTGCCAGTAAAGGCAACAGTTCTATGGCCTCTATGACATGCAGCTGGGCACTAGTGGGTAGCAGACTAACATTAACAAGTCCAGGGCTGGGGATTTAGCTCAGCGGCAAAAGCGCCTGCCTGGCAAGCACAAGGTCGTGAGTTCGGTTCCCAGTACTGGAGAAAAACCAAAAAAAAAACAAGTCCAAACTAACAAGGGCATGTTTTATGGGGATTACGATGAATCTTCCATTTTAAAAAAGAATAAATTGCATTTGTGTAAAAGGAGGACCTGCATAAAGAGTTCACATGGACCAGACTGGGGGAAGGGCACTAGTCAGCCAGAGATACTGCCGAAGATGTCAGTGGTCCCGGCCCTCCGCTGGGCTGGTGCCCCCCTTGCCAGCCGCTGTGTATGTGCAGGCCAGTGGCTCACAGCACTTCTTCCTCACGGGAATGTGCCTGGCTGAACAGAAGCCGCCTGTGGAAGCCACTGAGACCCCCTTGCCCAAGGCACAGCCGGCTCCGCAGCTAACTCGTGCCCCAGAGTGACCCAGGTGTGGAGCTGAAGCAGGCTCCAGCCAAGATTACACCTTGGTTTATCTCTCATCTCCAAGTCCCTCACTCCCTTCTTCCTGGGAGAACTCTCTCAACAAACCACTTATAGAAGAATTCCTGTTTCACATTGTGCTGCTAGAGAATCTTGCCTATGACAGGCATATCGTAACTCAGCATTTTTTTGTTTGTTTTTGAGACATGGGTCTTGCCCTGTAATTCAGACTGGCCTTGAGCTCACTGTGTAATCCAGGCTGGTCTCAACTTGAGGCAATCCTCCTGCCTCAGCCTCCCAAGTGCTGCGATTACAGATGTGTGCCACCAGGCCCAACTACAACTCAGCATTTGATGGAGTTACTCAAACAGCCAAGGCAGCCACAGGCTGCACCTAAAAATATAGTGTCCTCCTCAGAGGACCAGATGGCCCCATGTTGTGACAGCCTGTGCACCAGACATCTGGGGTTGACTCCTCTTTTGGTAAATATTTCCAGTGTAATAAAGAAAGAAGAGCATAACAGGTCTGGCACTGTGTTACAAGAGGAGTGGCTGGAGAAACAGAAAGTTAAAGTAGAAGGGAGGAGCTTGAGGGAGAAGGGCACAGTGTCTGAAGATTCACCCCGGTAACAGGCACTTTCCAAGTGACTGGAGAGCCAGCGCAGCACCAAATGGGACTGCACAGGGGCAGAACCAGCTGCAGGGGCGACAGACCTGCTCACTGGGGAGCTGTGGGTGGTGAAGGGTGTGCAGGGGTATTGCGCTGCGTTCCTTCCAGGCAGGAATGGAGGCTGTCCTTCCTGTGGCCTATAACAGACACACGGAGGGGCAGTGGCCTGTCTCCACCCACCTGTAAGATGTCTGCATTGTGAGATGCTCCTCCAGTGGCCAAAATCTTTGTCTTGGACACTACAAGGGAAAAGAAAGACAAGGTGTGGTGGTGGCAGCTCCCCTGGTGGGACGGGCTGCTCCCAGGGCTTGTCAGCTGCCTGGGGCTCCCACTGGGCCAGGACCCACTTCTGACCAGGCCTGGGGGGACCAGGGCTGGCTCTGTCCATGCAGGATGGCCTCACAATGTGTGTGTGAGGCAGCGGCCCATCTACCTTTGCGGTCGTAGTATCTTATTACTTTTCAAAAAATCTCCCAACAAACCAGAAAGAGAACAGAATCTCCTTAGATTGATAAAGGGTATATATCCAAAATTTACAGTTATTATTATTGCATTATTATTATTACCATTATTATTTGTAGCACTGTCATTAAGCTACATTCACAGCCTTTTTTTTTTTATCTTACACAGGGCCTCACGAAGCTTCCCAGGCTGGCCCTGAATTGCAATCTTCCTGCCTCAGCTTCTAAAGTAGCTGGAACTCCAGGTGTGTGCCACTACACCTGGCACAAACACTATTCTTTACAGAAAGATTTAGAAGCATTCTCTTTAAGACTGGCATGCCAGCCAGCCTCACAATGGGCTCCTGGCACCCACACCCTCCAGGGCCCCGTCTCACACTTGCTTGGTAGATCTGTGGGTGATGAGCTGTGGGCTCCAAGAGCAGGTCATACAAGAGAGTGAGGCTCTTGTCTCACTCTGACCTAGACCACTTTCTCTGATCAGTCACACTGAGGGAAGCTAACTGCAGTGTCATGAAGTCACTCAAGCAACCCTAGGGAGGGGCTGACATGCTGAGGAGGAAAGGCCCTGTGCCAACCACCATGCTGGTGCGCCATCTTGGAAGCAGACCTTCCAACTTCCGTCAAGCCTTCAGACAACTGCAATCCCAACAACAGCCTGACAGTAACCTCAGGAGTTATCTCCACTCAGAACCACTCAGCAGAGCAGGGAACAGGCACAGTCCCAGCTACTCAAGAGGCTGAGGCAGGAGGAGCATGTGAGCCCAGGAGGAGTTAAAGGCCAGTTTAGACAACATAAACCCATCCCTTAAAAAAAAAAAAAAAAAAAAAAAAACTACAAACATATTACAAAGTCACAATTATACAGCTTGTCCCAAAAATCTTTGGGGGCTTTGTTTTTATTTT